TACTACTCACATTTATACTGTATAGAATGTACTTTTCTAGTGGCCGTGTTGTACGTTTAAATTCAAATGCAGTACCTACTGAGTAGTGATCCCCAGCGATCTACAAGCCTGGATTGCTGGTGATTGTGACAAAAAGCTTGCCTTTCATTCAATAAGTTGTCCCCTTTTTAATCTTTACAAAGAAATCCTCAGTTGCTGTTCCTCTCCTTGCTTTTGTTCAGGTTTCATTTCCTCTGTTCATTCTTCCTCCTCCAGATCTTCTCAGTAGTTCTCAGGTCACCGTACGAGAACTTCTGCTCTTCTCTTTGAGAAAGTGTTGAGTAAGTCTCACAGCTGGATTTCTTTCTCATGTAATTTCCATCGAAAGCACAACAAATGCAAGAATAGAGGAAGACTTTCAACATTTGTTCATAAAAAAATATTTAATTTTAGACTATATGAAGTAGTCTAGTGACTTCTGGAGAAAAATACAATTTAATAATGTATCATAGGCGTTTTTTAATGTAAGCGTAGTGTAAGTGACGGGGAAGTTAAGTGGTAGTCCTAATTTTAGTTTTCTTGTTATTAGTAGAACATTCTCTTTTTGGTTATGTCAGAACTATATCTAAAAGGGAACAAGATGTAAAATAAGTCTCTGATGTCGCTAAAGTGTATATGTGAAGTTTCAGCTTCAAATACCACACAGATAATGTTTTATAACACATTGAAACATGTTGATCCTAATTTTGCCATTTTGGTGGCTGTCTCTTTAAATTCAAAAGAGATTGTGCTCTTTTCAAAAGAGGGCAGAGCTACAAATGCCCATGTGTCAGCATAGTGGCAGATTCAATAGCAAGACTTACGTCCTATGCTTATTAGTGAGAGATCATTACCAGTGAGCTGGGCTTTCCCCCTCTGATGACACGTACAAGGGGAGAACATCAATCTAAGTGTTTCTGCAGACTGTTTTTATCAAGTGTGATTATAAAAAACTAAATTAATACAGTTTTACCATTAGACGCTGGTTACAATCACAGTCTGTTGCCACACAACTGTGTTTGAACCTCTTATGAAAGTGATTTTTGGATAATAGGTTCCCTTTGTGTCATCATTTTGTCAGTATGATGACATATTTTCCAACGGAGTATTGAGTAGGGGCAGCATGGTGCGAATTACAGGGAGGTTTGGGGGGGATTGACCCCCCCTAATTAATGCTTGATTTCCCCTGAAGGACATGGATGGAGGGGTTAGCCCTTTAATAATAAATAGCTTTCTCTGATCTGTATTTGAAATATTAATAATTAATATTATAAATAAGTAATAATATAAAAATACATTTTTCCAGTGATGGGTTGCAGCTGGAAGGGCATCCGCTGCGTAAAACATATGCTGGATAAGTTGGCGGTTCATTCCGCTGTGGCGACACCAGATTATTAAAGGGAGTAAGCCGAAAAGAAAATGAATGAATGAATAAATATACATTTGACCCCCCCTATAACGGTTCATACAATTGTGAATGCATAATCAAACCAATCAACAGAAAAATACCATTCAACAGTCTGAAACTGGCAGTTCTAGAGCACCAAAAAACATCTTAAGTATTTACGAAACCGTTTCTTGTAAAATAGGTGTTTATGTCTGCATGTAGCCTAAAAAAAGAAAAATTAGACATAAATTGTATAGTAATTTGCATAATTTCAGAATAATAAATAGACATATGTACTCATATTAGACTCATATACATATTAGAAATTAGACATATTTTGTGTAGTAATTTCATATTCATATTCATGATTAGACATATTCATATTAGACACATATTCATATTAGAAATTAGACATCATTTGTATAGTAATTTGCATAATTTCATATTCATGATTAGGCATATATCCACATTAGACTCATATACATATTAGAAATTTGACATAATTTGTATAGTAATTTGCATAATTTCATATTTATATTCATGATTAGAAATATTCATATTAGACACATATTCATTTTAGAAATTAAACAATTTGTATAGTAATTTGCATAATTTCATATTTATATTCATGATTAGACATATATTCATGTTAGACACATATTTATATTAGAAATTAGACATAATTTGTATAGTAATTTGCATAATTTCATATTCATGATTAGACATATATTCATATTAGACACATATTCAAATTAGAAATTAGACATAAATTGTATAGTAATTTGCATAATTTCATGTTCATAATTAGACATATTCGTATTAGACACATATTCAAATTAGAAATTAGACATAAATTGTATAGTAATTTGCATAATTTTCATGTTCATAATTAGACATATTCGTATTAGACACATATTCAAATTAGAAATTAGACATAAATTGTATAGTAATTTACATAATTTTCATGTTCATAATTAGACATATTCGTATTAGACACATATTTATATTAGAAATTAGACATAATTTGTATAGTAATTTGCATAATTTCATATTCATGATTAGACATATATTCATATTAGACACATATTCAAATTAGAAATTAGACATAAATTGAATAGTAATTTGCATAATTTCATGTTCATAATTAGACATATTCGTATTAGACACATGTTTATATTAGAAATTAGACATAATTTGTATATTAATTTGCATAATTTAATAATAATATAAGACATATTCAAATTAGAAATTAAACATAAATTGTATAGTAATTTGCATAATTTCATATTCATATTCATAATTAAACTCTAATCTGTCTCTTTATTTCAACACAGCGGAATGAACCAATAACCCTTTGATTGCCAATGTATAATACACTCACTGGGGGGCGGGATTTATTTCTGAAGCGCTTTGAAAGTCATGATTAAGCATTTTTTGGCAAAGTCGTCAAACTGAGGTCATCAGAGAAGTACTTCCTTTCCAAAGTAGAAGCAAATGGTTTGATTTTGATTAAAGATTACCTGTACTGTTTTTAATTAGTGGATTAACTTGCGCAGATTATTTTTTCACTTTAAAACCCACATAGCAAAATGTCTCTGGCCTAGATCTGGCCCACACAATAAGCCTTTGCTTGGCTCATTTGCTGCAGTGAATTACAGTACATGATTGGGCCAAGTGGCTTTCAAACAAGGGTCAAACATGGACCATATCTGGGCCAAGTCTCAGCTAAGTTAATAGCACATAACTGGGCCTGAACTGGAATTTGACCACTGAATCCATCAAGCATTTCGCTTTATGGCTGTGCTTTTTCTCAAAGCAACCCAATTGGTTCAAATGTTTCCTAACCTAAAAAATTATTTAAATGAAGTTAACTTGTTAACAAAGGTTTGGCAGCAGAACCAAGCCTCTCTTGTCTCCTTAACCAATCTCCTACTGGACACTGTTCTTCTCGCTTCTCGAACCCTTCCTCCCTCACTCAATTTCCTCGCTTCCCATTAACAATCCTATAATCCTCTCTTCACTCCTAGGTTGAATCAGGGGTCCAATCACGCTACCAAAATATTACAGAGACAGTACCCCCACTCTGAGTCTCAGGGCATCATCTTAGGATGCCTGATCAACCTACAGTACCTTCCTGTTCACGGTTTATCCTGTACACCTGGCATGTCCAAACTGGGTCCTGGAGGGCCGGTGTCCTGCAAAGTGTAGTACCAACCCCAATCAGACACACCTGGGCTAGCTAATCAAGCTCTTACTAGGCTTTCTAGAAACATCTTGCAGGTGTGTTGAAGCAAGTTGAAGTTAAAATCTGGAGGAGACTGGCCCTCCAGGACCGAGTTCGGACACCCCTGCTGTACACTGTTCTCTTACCATCTCCTTCATCCCTACATTAAAGTCTAGCTCAAAAGGTCCATGCTGATGAAAAGAATTGTAAAAGAGGGTCAAGATAGTCCACACACACACTTACGTGGCCAACCTATAAATTTGTAACATCTGGGCCAAATACTATTGATATATATGCCAAGTCTTGTGTGCCACCTTACAGACATTGCTACCTCTGCCAAAACTGAACCATGTTTGGCCCACATGCTGAATGCCAGTGCCGGTGTTCTGACAACCTGTGCTACCTCCTCAGAATGTGCTACTGGTAGCTCAATCTGTCATAGTTCATCTAAAAAAAGGGTGTAAAAACAGGGTATAGCGCATTTTTTCAGCTTCAAATGTCAATCGGAATGAATGACCACTCTAATAAACAAATTAAATATAAAAATAATGAAACAAAAAATAAGGTTGTAGTTCACTTTGATAGACATTTGAAGCTGCTACGCCTTTTTCTAAATTGTCCAGTAGTTAATTTCGATAGACATTTGAAGATGACTATGTGCTACCCCTGTTTTTACATCTTTATTTAATGTGGTAGTTCATCCTGATAGACATTAAAAGCTGAACGGATGTGCTAACCCTGTTTTGGTAGATGAAACATGACAGATTGAGCTACCGGTAGCACATTCTGAGGAGGTAGCACAGATCGTCAGAACACTGGATGGACGAATGCCTGCTGTGCCAGCTTTATGCCAAATCTGGGCCAGAATTTTTGCTCTAGCTACCTGGGAAGGTGCGCTAGCAAAATAGATATTGCACATTTTGATTTCATGTGGACTTTAAATGCGCCCAATTAATTAAATTAATTCTTCATAATATATATACATGTACTATTTTTAACAAGTGTAACGTGTTTTAACAAATCAAAGAACAGTGCAATAAAATCAAATGTAAATCACTGCACTCTATTAGATAAGCTGCTGTAAATAAATTTCCTAACATGAGGTTTCTTCACATTTAGAGTGCAGAAATTGTTTGCTAGTCTACTTTTCCGTTGAAGACAGCGTAAAGAAAGCAATATGAAATAATTCGAGGCCATGTAGATTGGTGAAAGTTTGCATACTCTGGCATGATTACTAAGATGACCCGTTTCAGCTGTCACATTGTAAACTAGGCTCAGATGTAAGATCGGAGCGCCTCAATAAGGGGTTGAAGGGTTAAATCTGACATGCAGCTCCAGCCAACCGCCTCCTCGAGCGCTCATCGGTGATTACCGGAGCGCGAGGGGAGGCGCATATATTCCGCAGATCAGACGCGCATGAGACAGCATTCAGTGCACGAGCTCCTGACAACAAGACCAGCTCTGAGCTCTTCCCCTCCTTGCTTTATTCATGGATACTAACCTGCTAGGATTGTACTTTCACCGCATGACGAGCCACTTTTGGAAGAGCCGGTGCTGAGCTCCACATGAGGTGCATGGACTCACTTCTAAACTCTTCTGAAGTTTCCCAAAGAGTTTTATTCTTCATTAATTGGCATAGGCAATGCAAAAGGCTTTAACTATTCGGATTGTTGGACAGCCATGACGACCTTTTGCAACTTTTGAGATCTTTTTCTTCTTCTCCAGCATTTGGACCAACACCTGGAGCTCCAGCTCGGATTTTTTTTTTCCTCTTTAGACTTGAGCTGGTGCATCGGGTCATTTATAGAGAGATATCTTCAAGGTATGGTTCTGGACTCTCTGAGCTCAGGAGCGGATCCAAAGCTCCTACAGTCTTCATCTTTCTTGCTGGGTGGGAAATTGACATTGGAAGGAGATGAGAACCCTATTCTGCTGCTTTCTGCTCCTCACCTCGCACCTTCTGCTGGCAGCTGCTGAGGTAAAGAGCTCACAGAAATGAGAAAGAAGCACTTGTTACATCCAACATGTTCTGGATTGTCTTGTCACACCAAATCAGGTCGCCGAGTTTATATAATCAACCTCATATTTCATCATAAAGCTATAAATCGGTTCAGTTCCCTCAATGTGTACATTTATGAGGTGTATTCGCATTATGGTATATAATAAACGATCTTTGCATGCTATGATCCCAAGTGCATGTAAGATCCATAGTTTATGATATCAGTTCAGCTGTGTTTGCGTGTGAACATGTCATAAAAATATAGATATCTGAAATATTTTGCGACAGCATTTACATATTTATGCATTTATTAGGCTACCTGACGAAGTGGTCCGTTTCATTTTATATTTATTTATGCAGATAGATAGATAGATAGATAGATAGATAGATAGATAGATAGATAGATAGATAGATAGATTATGAAATGCCATTTTCCAAGCTTCACTCATGGTCACTTACTGGCCTCGTGTACAATATCTATTTCTACTAATGTCCCTGCTGTTTTTACTGTACAAAATCATGGGAAGGGGGTTGACTATTGAAGATCGCCCTCTTCTGTCAAAACTTCAAAATATCATAGAAACATACAAACAGAGGAGACTCTGATGTGATGTACTTGAGCTGTTTTCGTCAAATGGCACTGCGCATCATTTTAATGAGGAGTAGCCTAATTTAGATAAGTTATTTTGCTTATTGAAATCTGAGGAAAACCTTATTTTAGCTGCTTATGTACTTAAATATACTTAATATCGCATGATGTGTTGTATTATTGTTGAAATGCATGCATACATGTGATAAATAAACAGTTATTCCGGATGATTTATCAACTTTAAGGAGTGTACTTCTTGTAACTGATGCGCGTTTGTCAATATATCATGTATAAATAACTTTATTTGTCGTCCAAAATTCAAAAAGATTTATTTTTGTGCGTCTCCAGAAGGAGTTTCCCATCCCTCAGGAGTTCATCGACAGACTGTCCCACAGCGAAATCAACAGCATCAGCGACCTCCAGCGGCTACTGGAGGTAAATTCCCCAGGTAAATTCTCCTCATTGTCCTCTTGACGCCTCTTTTGGACTTTGTTCGCCGTCTAATCTCGTGTGTATGCGCTGTACAAGCTATTTACAGGTTTTGATGTAGTTGATGTGGCTTCACAAAGCGCTGAAGCTGTATTTTTACGAGTGGCACGGAACAATTTAAAGGTATCAGACTGGCCTATGGGCGGAGAGTCATAAATACTGTAGTCCTTTATTACGGATAGCTTCTGTTTTTAGAGCGACACTTGGATCTTACAGAGTCCAGGCTTACGTCACGGAGAAGGGAGGCCAGGTTTCCTATACTTAAGCTGTCCGCAAAGTGGTTTCATTTGCCCACTATAATTTCATTTACAGGCAGATTACCGGTAATTACACAAAGAAAGAAGCTCAAGACAGTGTAATTTGGGGTATGAGTGTAACCAGTCTGGTTTCTGTGGTGAGACCGAAGGTGTGATAGGTGTGCGAGGGGGACATTTAATGGTCATTCATTTTCTTTTCGGCTTAGTCCCTTTAGTAATCAGTGGTCGCCGCAGCAGAATGAATCGCCAACTTATCCAGCATATGTTTTACGCAGCAGATGCCCTTCCAGCCGCAAACCCAACACTGGGAAACACCCATACACACTATTTCACACACACACATACACACTACGGCCAATTTAGCTTATTCAATTCACCTATAGGGCATGTCCTTGGACTGTGGGGGAAACTCAACAAACTCAACACAGAAATGCCAACTGACTCAGCCAGGGCTCGAACCAACAACCTTCTTGCTGTGAGGGGATTGTGCTAACCACTGAGCCCTTCATGTAATGTTGTGAAACATATTTTCAGTTCATCTTCATTTCTATAGCGCACTTTACAATGTATTGTGGCTAAGGGATAGTTCACTCAAAAATCCCAAACATTTATGAGTTGCTTTCTTCTGATAAACACAACAGAAAATACTTTAAAGATATTTGGAAACCTATAACCGTCCATAGTACTGTGGAAGTCAACACAGGTTTCAGTTCAGTTTCCTTTATTTTTGTCATTCAAAGCATTGCAATAAATTATAATGCTGAACACAATTATGTTAATCGTAATTAATTAATCGGATTAGACCATTAGCATCTCGCTCAAAAATGTACATTTATTTTGGATGAAATTTTGTTGGTTTTCTGATTTAACTTTGACTTTTCTATATTTGTTTGATTTACATTGCTTTAAGACTGACGCAACATGAAAAGTTGCTATTTTCTAGGCCGATGTGTCTAGGAACTATACTCCTAGGCCTCCTAGTGAAAAAATTAGCATTTCTTGATGCTATTTATCAACTGGAGAAGTATGATGATAATATTTGCTATTTTTGTTTGCCCTAATCATCTGCAGTATCTTGTCTTAAAGGGATAGTTCACCCAAAAATAAATAATTACTGACTATTTACTTTCTCCCAAGAAATTACGTTACATTGGACCCAACAATAACAACAAACACTGTAAAAACCCAACAAACCTGATAAACAAGCTTTTTGTAATTTTAAAAATATATAAAAATATAGTTTTATTTATATATATATATATATATATATATATATATATATATATATAAATGTAACCCAATTCAAAGGGCTGGTCCACTATAATATCATATTTTAAACTTTAGTTAATGTGTAATGTAGCTGTGTGAACATAAACAACATCTCTGAATGTAATACGTTTAAAGTTCAATGCAAAAGGAGACATTGGCTTTTACAGAGTTAGCTTAGCAAAGCCTACAGCAAACGAAGTTTGGGGACTACTAAAAAATAGGTCCAGGTTAATGATGTCATAAATTCTTCAGGTTATGTACATACACCCTGTGCAGCAAAGGGGCGTGGCCATAGGCACTGTAATGTTATAACAGAGACACTTCCTGGTGATGTGGAGCTGATCTGGGAATCACAGCACATTATGTTAGCTGACCAATCAGAGCCTTTTTCAGGTGGGTCTTCAGAGGAACTAAGTAATATGACAGTTGTTTTCATGTTAGCAGAGTAGCTGTATTTAATCAATGTAAGATATCTGACAAAAAAACAACATGATTTTCTACAAATGAAGCATGGGCACACATGGCTTTGCACCCCATAAACACAACCAAGCCTTAAAAATACACTCTGGACCACCCCTTTAAAAAAAAGGGAATACTTAAATAACTATTACACAGTTTGTTATAATAGTTATGTTGACAATTTGTGCTAGTTTAACTGTTTATACATTTATTATTACATACAAGCTATCAATTGTATTTAAAATATGGTCTTATTCAAAAGTCTTATGATGACAGGATTACACAACTGCACTGATTTGCTCCTCAGGCTTCGGTACCGCCTGCCTGATGGCATGAGCTTGAGGAGACTATGGCCAGGGTGGGTTTATCCCTTAAAATGCTATTTGCCTTAGACAAACACAGTTGTTTGCAACATTCTTCAAAGTATCTTCTTTTGTGTTCATCAGAAGAAAGCAACTTATAAATGTTTGAAATTATTAGCCGCCTGAGTTTAACTATTTTTAATCTTATTTATCCAATCTCTGGCTCCAGCGGGAGCGCTTTTATCTTAGCTTAGCATAGATCATTGAATCGGATTAGACCATTAGCATCTCGTTAATTTCGATAATTTTCTAATTTAAAGTTTGACTGTTCTATATATATATATATATATATATATATATATATATATATATATATATATATATATATATATATATATATATAGAATTTTTTATTATTTACATCATATTTCAAGACAGACGCAAAATGAAAATTAGCTTTTTTTTTGTCCTAGACAAGCACGGTTATTTGCAGCATTCTTCAAAATATCTTATTTTGTGTTTATCAAAAGAAAGAAACTCATAAATGTTTGAAATTAGTAACATTTTGAGAATAATGGAACTCATAAAGGTTTAGAAACCACCTGAGTGTAAGTAAATAGTGAGTAAATCTTCATTTTTGATTGAAATTTCCTTTAACATTAATAAATAAAAGAAAGGAAAAGGCATAACAAATCTTCAAAACACACTGAGGACCGCTCTGCTGCATTAAAATTGAGTTTATTGCTCTTAAATATTTTTGATATCTTCAGCATTTCATGATGTGTTTACAAAAAGGCCAACATTTTGAGAAATTTTATGGAAAAGGAGCATGCAGGGCTCAAAACTGCGAGCATTTTGGGTCAAATATGCACCTAAAATGTAATAATGTGCATATATAAGTGCTTATATAGTGTGATCTATTTTATATATGGTTTATACTGGGTTGAAATAATCTATTCTGCTACTTGTTTTCCTCCTTCTGTGTCTTCTTCGCCGTCTTTCAGTTTGGATAATATTACTGTGATCTCTAACATGAGCCGCCTCTGGGTTCACTGGAGCTGCATTGCACAGGCCCTCATAATACATCAAAACGCATTGGCTGCTTTGAAGTTTGATAGAAAATATAAGCTTTTAATGTTTTTTTTATTTATTTAAAGTAGTGACTTACATGATGCGTGTGTTAGTCTCAGCACACCTGTCAGGACATGCGTGGGTCATATTTCATTCTGTAATGATAAAAATATGATAAATGTTTGCTTTCTTTGATTATCGGTGTATGCATGTTATATTTATTAGTTATTGTTTACAAATATAATGTATGGCTGCTGATTGAGTCTGATTTGCAGCTATTTTCAGATAAACACAGAGATAAAAGAGGTTTTGATATGGTTTCTTTTATTTATGGGGTGGAATAGAACTGTAATATTTTTGTAATTATATAAATGTTTAATTTAAAAGTTTTAAATACACTATATCTATATAATAAATAGATTTAACCTTAATATATTTGTGATATTAGAAATATTGTATCTTTATTGTATTATAGTAATTGTTTATATTTGTAATTATAGTATGTATGCACATACGATATGTACACAATTAATAGTAAGTTGCAGATATACAGTGGTAATCTATTTTTTTGCTGGCCTCTTCATAAATCAGGCAGTCTGACAGACACCCAAAGACTAAAAGACGCCAGTGATGGTGTATTTTCAGATCTTTGTGTGCAGTAGGCAACAACACTTCAAAGTCCGAGCGTTCAAAGCCGTCACATGCCAAGGATAAACAATTAAATATGCTGTTTTCATGTTATTAATTTTGCAGCACTACTCAGAGTTAGGATCAAAAATCATTATTAAGTGTGAGACTTACCAGTTCTACCAATTCTGTAAAATTTAACCACACAACGTATTTTAATGGCTGTTTTATCACAATTATTTGTTTGTTCTTCAATGAAATGTATAGAAGTTATACATATTTGAATAAATAATGACTTTGCATAAGTATAGGATAATGTACATCCAGCCGGTTGTTCTCACAGAATAAAGCCATCAAAACTAAACAATTAGACACAAAACATTTATCTGAGCTGTAATACTTTACCTGTTAATTAAATGTAAAGTTGACAGAAAGTAAGGTCGTTCTTAAAGAAACACTAATTTTTTTTTTTTTTGGAAATAGGCTCATTTTACAACTGTCCTAGATTTAACAGTTGTGTTTTACCATTTTTAATTTTCTGGGTCTGGCGGGAGCACTTTTAGCTTAGCTTAGCATAGATCATTGAATCGGATTAGACTATTAGCATCTCGCTCAAACATGAAATTTTATTTCAATGAAATTGTGGTCATTTTCCAATTTAAAGTTTGAGTTTTCTATATATTTTTTTTGATTTACCAACACAACATGAAAATTTGCGGTTTTCTAGGCCGTATTGTCCAGTGTATACAATTATATAATTCTAATGCAAAAAAATGAGCAATTCTTGAAGTTATCAATCAACTGTTGAACTATGATGATAACAATTAGCTATTATTTTACCCTAATCATGTGCAGTGTCTTGTCTTAAAGAGATAGTTCCCCCAAAAATGAAAGATTTCGACCCTCAAGTTCCTTTAAGAATTGCTTTCTTCTATTAAACACAAAAGAAGATATTTTGAAGAATGCTGAAAACC